TAAGATTATTACTAAGTTTAAACCTTCATTCTCTTTTTAAAACAAATTCATGAAAATCATGACTTAGGTGGAAATTTTTATTCCAACTCCACACACCCTAGCATCTGATGAAGATTGTATGTAAGGCATTTGCAGTGCCAGGGTTTCTAGTACTCAGTGTTGCCTTCTAGTGGTGAAAAATAGATGATTTAGCATTATTGTTTATAACAATAATAGTAAAGTTTTATTTTTCCAAATGTACAGTTGATTGAACTTGTTCATGCCTTTTCACCAGAAGCTGAGCCGTCTCCTCCCTTTGTGTTTTTGGTGTAAATTACTTCAGCTCTGCTTTGAAGCCAGTTTGATAAGTCCTTTCCTAAGTAGCTCTGGAAAGGGAACCGTGAATCTTCAGTGTCTCAGACGCCACAGTGGAGTAATAGCTTACAATTGTGAACTTCCTTACAAAGTTTGTTGTATGGAGCAGTCTAGTCAAACAGGACTAGATTGTTGAACTTGTTCTGAACTTTGCCTTTGGACTACTTCTTCCTTTCAGCCTTACCACCGGACCTATCTACTGGGTTTTGTCTATTTTTGCCAACTTTCTGGCATCTTTCTGGTCATCCTTGGGTGGCCCTATTAGAGCTCGGAGAGTAGTGATGGTTACTCAAGATTCAGCATTGCCACTCATTGCTTTGGGAGCAGGTTGTTGTTGCTGTTGTTGTGTCAGTTTTATATTTTTTAATATAATACTTTTGCTTGATGTAGTAGCCAAGTACAAAATACAGAAAGAACTAACTATAAAACTTATATGGAAGATTCTTATAAATAACACTGATATATAAGGAATAAAAGAAAAAACAACAATGTTAGATGATATTAAATTTACCTCTGGTTGTCCTGAAATTCACTCTGTAGCCCAGGCTGGCCTCGAACTCAGAGATCTGCCTGCCTCTACCTGGGATTAAAGGTGTTTGCCACCACTGCCTGGCTTAAAAATTTATCTTTCTCTCCTGAGTAAATTGGGAGCATGGAGACCTTGGGGGAGGATTGAAGGGAGAAGGGGAGAGGCAGGGAGGGGAAGCAGGGAAAAATGTAGAGCTCAATAAATATCAATAAATATATATATATATATATACACATACATACACGGGCGGTGGTGGCACATGCCTTTAATCCCAGCACTTGGAAGGCAGAAGCAGGCAGATCTCTGTGAGTTCGAGGCCAGCCTGGTCTACAAGAGCTAGTTCCAGGACAGGAACCAAAAAAGCTATGGAGAAACCCTGTCTCAAAAAAATATATATATATGCAAGCCAGTCTACAGAGCAACCCTCTCGGGGGTGGTGAGAAATGCAAGCCCATTGTAATTATGGTTCTGAAGCCAAGGAAGGGACAACACCTGGTGTGACAATGACAGTGGTCCGTGTTTGTATGTACCTGAACCAGCTCTGCATGGTGACAGAAGCCTGGGATCCCAGGACTCTGTAAGCAGAGGCAAGAGGATGAGTTTGAGACCAGTCTGGGCCATACAGCCCACCCTATCTCTGAAAAAAAAAAAGGGGGGGAGGGAATCCCTGTATTCCGTGCACACAAACATTCATGGTGAAATGGCAGGTGTGGAGTCTGCTTCAGGATGGGAATGGGGAAGAGGCAGCTGATAAGCCATGACCACTGACAGTCGCAAGGGAGGGATGGATAGGCAGAAATCACATCTTTAGACACTCTGCTTTCATGTTTGTAAAATTACTTCACAGTAGAAACTTTTAAAAAATCATGTTATATTTCCTACAATAACAATTCATAATGCTAAAAAAAAGAAAAGAAACTTTTTTATTCATACTGGCAGCCCAGTCTCGAACTGTAAAGAATAAATCCAATCGTGTTGACAGAGAAAAAAAAATTATCTTTCGCCGGGCGGTGGTGGTGCATGCCTTTGGGAGCAGCACTTGGGAGGCAGAGGCAGGCAGAGCTCTGAGTTTGAGGTCATCCTCTTTTACAAGAGCTAGTTCCAGGACAGCCAGGGCTACACAGAGAAACCCTGTCTCAAAAAAAAAATTATCTTTCAAAAACATGCTTGAGAAAGTAAAAGGGCAGCCCATAAAATGAGAGGAAGTATTTCCTAACTAAATAGCTTGCAAAACTTTAGTATCTACAATATATAAAGAATTCTTGCAATTTGAAAGCAGAAAGACACCCCAACTGAAAAATATGAGCCAGAGACTAGAGATGTAACTCAGTTGATAGAGTACTTGGCCAACATGCAAAAACTCTGGGTTCATCCTCCTGAACGTTAACCTTCATCAGGCGATGGAAGAAGACAGAGACAGAGACCCACATTGGAGCACCGGACTGAAATCTCAAGGTCCAAATCAGGAGCAGAAGGAGAGAGAGCATGAGCAAGGAACTCAGGACCCGCGAGGGGTGCACCCACACACTGAGACAATGGGGATGTTCTATCGGGAACTCACCAAGGCCAGCTGGCCTGGGTCTGAAAAAGCCTGGGATACAACCGGACTCGCTGAACATAGCCGACAATGAGGACTACTAAGAACTCAAGAACAATGGCAATGGGTTTTTGATCCTACTGCACTTACTGGCTTTGTGGGAGCCTAGGCAGTTTGGATGCTCACCTTACTAGACCTGGATGGAGGAGAGTGGTCCTTGGACTTCCCACAGGGCAGGGAACCCTGATTGCTCTTTGGGCTGATGAGGGAGAGGGACTTGATTGAGGGAGGGGGAGGGAAATGGGAGGCAGTGGCGGGGAAGAGACAGAAATCTTTAATTAATTAATTAATTAATTAATTAAAAAACCCTCTGGGTTCAATGCCCATTACTGCATAAACCAGGTGGATGCAGAAGTATCAGAAGCTGAGGTTGGGCCAGTGAGATTGTTCAGTGGGTAGAGGCACTTGATTGCAGTCCTGACAACCTGAATTTGATCCCCAGACCCTACAACTTCGCAGGAAAAAAAAAACCATAATTGTCTTCTGACTGTCATACATAAACCATGCCACATGGTATGTCTCCTCTCTTTAGAAAAATGAGTAAATAAATAAATGGTTTGTTGAAAGTATAAGATCATTTCCAACAATCGATTGCACAATTTCAAGTGGCACTACAGGAGACCTTGTCTCCAAAAAAAAAAAAAAGAAAGAAAAGAAAAGAAAAAGAAAAATCAAAGGTTTAAGTAGATAGTTCTCCAAAGAAAATAGATCAATATCTAATGAAACATGCAAGGATACTCAGCATCATTGGTAATAGAGTCATGAAATTTAAAGTCATGATGATATACCATCTCTAGAATGTCTGTCATGATTTAAAACACAGAACAAGGGGACTGAAGAGATGGCTTAGAGGTTAAGAGCACTGGCTGTTGTTCCAGATGACCTGGGTTCAGTTCCTAGCACCTGCCTGATGACTAGCAACCATCTGTAACTACAGTCTAAGGTGGTCTAACATTCTCTTCTGATGGCCATGAACACTGCACAGGTGTGATGTACAGACATACATTCAGGCAAACACTCATGCACATAAAATAATAAAATCTCAACAACAACACCAATAAAAAACACAAAGCAAAACACACACACACACACCAAAAAATAAATGGTGGCAAGGGTATAGAAAAATTAGAATCTTCATGTATTGCGGGTGGATAAGGGACAGCACTTTGGAAAACAAAGTTGCCATATGGCCAAAGAAGATTCTTCTCCTGTGTGTATCCTTAGAGAACTAGAAGCAGATATCAAAGCTAAATAAAGGTTAAAGTGAAACTCCAAAACAAAATTTATTTGGAAGTAATAAACATAATATTGAAATCTAGAACACTTGTATGACTATCTAGGATACTAAGGAAAGGTTGGCAGTTTTTGTTGGGATAAGGAAATATACTTGAGCTTTTATTTTTAAAAATAAATAAATAAAACACATTGACACTCTGAGAGAACTGGCTAGCTCTGATTGGAAAATACTATGTGTAGTAAGAGGAGCGGGCCGCGTTCTGCCGCCTAGCTAGTTTAACCCCTGAAATAAGCACAAAGAAATTGAATTAATTTAGTTACTGCCTGGCCCATTCTGTCTAGCCTCTTCTTGGCCAACTCTCACATCCTGATCTAACCCATTTCCGTTAATCTGTGTGTCACCACGAGGTCGTGGCTTACCAGAAAAGGTTCAGTGTCTCTGACCTGGCGACTTCATGGTGGCTCTCCCTGTCTGCCTTCCTCCTCCCAGTATTCAGTTCTGCTTCCCACCTAAGTTCTGCCTTATCAAAAGGCCAAGGCAGTTTCTTTATCTAACCAATGAAAGCAACACAAATACAGAAGGACCTCCCACATCAACTGTGCACAGAGCTAGGCTGCATCCCAGTTCTGTCAGTTGATGAGAAGAGAAAAAATGCAGACTTAAAAGATACGGCTGCTGTTTTGATGGGTTGGAATGGCAGGAAAGTTCTTGGAATGGTTGTTGGGACCTGAGTGCTTTTCTCTTTGGCCTCGTTTTAGATGTATATAACAGGAATGTTTTCTATGTAGATAATCAAACAAAATGTGCATAAACGTTCATAACATTTTATGTTTCGCTCAGATTGCTTTGTAGCAGATATATACAAAATTCTAATCCTACCAATAATGGATGAGAAAAATAGAGGAGATTAATAATTATTTTGTATCTTTTCCAGGCTCTGTGTCTGGATTCTTTCTTTTGATTAGTCCATGTAAAATTCCTCACCTCATTGTTATGAAGTACCCACAGAGGAAGATAACCAAAGATCAGAATCCAGATATTTTTGTTTCCCCAAAATGTTCTATTTTTAAATAAGCTTTACCAATATTAGTTTCCCTTTGCTGGTTGCTGTTCATTAAAGATTCAACACTTCCCTAGTAACTATTCCCATATTCTTAGGTAATAGTCTGTGTCTTTTGTCGGTGTATTAATAGATTTTTAAATTGGATATTCCTACTTTTCTTATAGACAAAGGAATTGTGTGTCAAAACTCTATCATAATTTTTGTCTGTCCTCTTGTTTAGGCTCTCGATGGAAATGTGTATGACCACCTCAAGGATTATTTAATAGCCTTCAGCCGGACCGAGCTAGAAACTTGCCAAGCTATACAGAACACATTCCAGTTTTTACTAGAAAACTCAAGCAAGGTAATGTGTTTATAATGCATTTTTATATTGCCTTTTTAGAATCCAAAGTTTTTCCATACATTCAAAGTGAGGATACCAGTTATAGCTGAAGGTTTTAAAGGATGTATTTCTGGGAAAAAGTCTCCTGAAGAAAGTGGGAAAATGTTCTGATCACCTTCTGGATGAGTGGAGGAGAAACTGTTGTCACAACCATGAAGAAAGGAGAGCTGAAGTAGCAGGCTGACTCGGGCATCAGTCATTGCTGTATGCAGTGCCTTTGAGACAAATCAGTGAAAAATCTGATCTGTTCACACAAACTTCAAATCTGTTCAGCTCAACCATTTGAGAGAAAAAGATCGTGTATCAAGGCAGAGAGTAAGAAGGGTATACAAAGGGAATATAGCATTGTAGATTTAAAAACAAATTCTAGAATACCTTGGAATTTGTTTTTAACAAATTAAAAAAATATTTATTTATGTATATGACTGCTCTGTCTTCCTGTAGGTCTGCATGACAGAAGAGGGCATCAGATCCCATTACAGATGGTTCTGGGCCCCATGTAGTTGCTGGGAATTGAACTTTTGACATCATGTCCTGTGTCTGTCCCTACCCAGAACCCAATAAAAGATGTAAAAACATTGAATGTGTAGAAAAAAGAGTGGATGAATGGATGGATACACTTTTAAAAGAAAAAGAAGTAAAATAGTAATTGTGGAGTTGTGGTAATAAGTATACAGGTGTTTTTTGTGACATCTTTTTATATTTTATTCATTTATTTATTTTTGAGAGAGGGTCTCACTATGTAGCCCTGACTGCCCTGGCCTTGAATTCACAGAGATCCTCCTAAAGTGCTGGGATTAAAGGTGAGCCCCACCACACCTGGCCAGTTCTTTTTATTTAAATGTGTTTGAAATCATGAAAATATTGGAGAAAAATTTCTACAAAAGCTTGTTGATTTTGTTCTTTCTGCATAGCAATGGTTTTTGACCACTGGGAAAAAATGTTTGGTAGTCAGCTCAGGTTTTCTGAATTTTTTTTTTCATTTTTGGTTGTTTTTCCAGTGTGTTTTAGCAGCTTCATTTTCCTATGTGGTTGTTAATTTATCAGCTCTGGTGGCACACCTCTTTTAAGAACCTGTCTGTCTCTGTCACCTTCTCCCTTGTTATTTCTGTTTACACTTTATTTTTTTCTGAAGTCAGTTTTGTTAACTTTGCCAAAAATATGTTTGTTGTGTTTTTCAGTGTTCGGTTTCATCAATTATTAACTTTCTCCAAAGTATTTCTTCCTTTTTTGTTTTTGTTTTTCCAGACAGGGTTTCTCTGTGTAACAGCCTTAACTGTCCTGTAACTCACTCTGTAGACCAGGCTCAGAGATCTGCCTGCCCCTGCCTCTCAGGTGCTGGAATTACAGTGCTAATCCCCCACCCCCAGCTAAAAGTATTTCTTTCTATATTCCTTTGTGTTCTTGAAATGCTTGTGTTTCTTGTTTTTAAATAACTAAACACACACTCCTACTACAATCTGTAACATGAAATGTGAAGGGCTTTTATTCTTATTTCTACATTGCCCCCTCATTAGTCCATAAATTATTTAGAAGTGAATTTTGCATTTAAGTTTAAGTGGAGGGCTGGAGAGATGGCTCAGTGGTTAAGAGCACTGCCTGCTCTTCTCAAGGTCCTGAGTTCAATTCCCAGCAACCACCCGTTGGCTCACAACCATCTGTAATGAGATCTGGTGCCCTTTTCTGGCCTAAAGGCATGCTTGCAGGCAGAATACTGTATACGCAATAAATAAATCTTTTAAAAAAAAAAGTTTAAGTGGCAAGATAATGTTTTTCACTTTCAACTTTACTAGAGACTATAATCTATTTTTATTCTAATTTAAAATTATTTGTCATAATTTTTTGAAACTTCTTTTTTAAAGAAACTGTTAAGTTAGATGCATTATTTTTAGTTTATAAAACATGTAGGCATGAAAACCAGCTAATACTATGCATGTATTTGATTTTCTAGGCATTCTTAGTGTCTGTTACATTCTGACTCACATGTTTGTTTTATGGAAAGGAAGATAGACTGAGTCTGACAGTGTGTGTCTCTGTCTTTCCTCCTCCTCCCCACAAACACACACACACGATACTCCCATTACTGTAGTGTTATTCTACTGTAATATATTATCTCTATATATTATTTTTATTTTTATTGAAAATATATTAAGAATTTATGAAATACTCAGGAGACAAAGAGATAAACTTTTATTTTCTGCCTTCACTCATGTGAGTCTCTCTGTCCCTGAGGGTGAGGCATAAATGAGACGCTTTATGTCAAGACCAAACTGGTGAATATGAATGATGTAGCTGGGAGATGTGCCCTGTTACTGCCAGTGAGAGGAATTCACACCTACAAGTTTTATACCATGTGCTTTTCTGTTACAAAAGTTCATTGTGTTGCAGAGATTCTATCCAAATAGAAAGTTTGAAAATCTATAAACTTTTTTATTCTATACTTTTATTACTTTGTTTGGGTCAAAATCTATTTTTTTGCTTGCTTATAACATAACAGTCCTAATGATGTTGTAAGGGTAATTCACATACTGTAAATCTTAAAGTGCTCTCTATAGCTTTCGTCCTCTGAATGAAAACAGCTGGTCCTAGGAACTTGTATTAAATTTTAATTATTTATGAAACTTGCTCTTCTCCTTAATATTTTATGAAAAGCTTTATATATGTAACTGAAGCAGATGTTGTCATAGATATTTCTTCTAGGATGGTAGCTCCAAAAGCAGATCGACTGTCCTCTATAATATGTTTCTGTGTGCTCGCTTTCTGCCTGCAAAGGACACCGCTGCCAATTACTAATGTAGCTCTTTGAACAGTTCATAACTTGAAAATTTCAAGCCGGGCGGTCGTGGTACACGCCTTTAATCCTAGCACTCTGGAGACAAAGTTTGAGACCAGCCTGGTCTACAAGCGCTAGTTCCAAGACAGGCTACAAAGAAACCTTGTCTCGAAAAAACAAAAAACAAGCCAACAAACAAACCAAAATAAAGCCAGGCGGTGATGGCGCACACCTTTAATCCCAGCATTTGGGAGGCAGAGACAGGCGGATCTCTGTGAGGCCAGACTGGACTACAGAGCGTCTTACAGGACAGGCTCAAAGCTACAGAGAAACCCTATCTCGAAAAAAAAAATTTATCCTGTTTCTTTGGAAACTGTCCAATGTTGTAGTTATAATACCTTGAAAACTAAACCATAAAAAGTGAATTTAATAAAATAAAGAACAAAATTATGATCATTACAATGGATATGAAAGCCGGGCATGTTGGCACATGTCTTTTATCCCAGGACTTGTGAGGCAGTGCCAGGCATATCTTTGTGAGTTCGAGGACTGCATGGTCTACTTAGTGAGTTCCAGGACAGGACATAGAGAAACCCTGTCTTAAAAAACAAATACAAACAGAAAAAGCACGTGAAAAGCCAACAGCTAATGCTGTCAGTAGTGAAATGCTGCGTGTTTCCCAGGATCAAGAACTGCTTTCATCCAGCCGGGCAGTGGTGGCGCACGCCTTTAATCCCAGCACTCGGGAGGCAGAGGCAGGCAGATCTCCGTGAGTTCGAGACCAGCCTGGTCTACAGAGCTAGTTCCAGGACAGGCTCCAAAGCCACAGAGAAACCCTGTCTCGAAAAACCAAAAAAAAAAAAAAAAAAAAAAAACTGCTTTCATGAGTGCGCTTAACTGCTGTGCTAAAAGCACTAACTTAAACAGTTAGGTCAGAAAGAGAGAATCAGAATTACTGCTGAATGGAAATGGTAGGATTCTCTATATATCAATATCACAAATGTAAAACCTACTAAAAAAAAGTAACCCAGATAAGAAAGCAATTCTACAAAGTTATTCTAGAAACAAGACCAAAACCTAATAGTCAGTTGTGTGTCTATACTCTTACCAGTAAATGATCTGAAAATAAAGTTAAATCAAGTCCAACTACATTAGTATCCAAAGAATAAAATACCCGATAATAAATTAACCAAAGAGCTGGAGAGATGGCTCAGTGGTTAAGAGCATTGCCTGCTCTTCCAAAGGTCCTGAGTTCAATTCCCAGCAACCACATGGTGGCTCACAACCATCTGCAATGAGGTCTGGCGCCCTCTTCTGGCCTGCAGTCATACACACAGACAGAACATTGTATACATAATAAATAAATATTTAAAAAATTTAATTAATTAACCGAAGACTTACATACAGAAAATTTTAAAATATTGCAAAATAAGATCTAAATAAATATAAATAATAAATGTTCATTGATTAGAAGATTTCATATAGCTGACTTTATAGTATTACCCAAATATTCGATACAATCCCTATCAAAACTCCAGTAGCTTTTGTTTTATAGCTTTTGTTTATAGGATTGGAAAAGACAATCCTCAGATTTATATGGAACTGTGAGGAAACCCTAACTAGCTAAATAGTTAAAAGGAAAAGCAAAATTGAACTACTCAGAGTTCCAGCTTATGAAGCTTATAAAGTCACAGGAATCAAGACAGTGGTATGGACATTAGGAGAGACAGAAGTGGCCAGTGAAATAAAGTTTGAGTCTTGAACTAAAACTGTACTTACATGGGCAACTGATTTCAGCAGAGGTACCTGACTATTGAGTGGGAAGGATATACTCTTCAGAAAAGGCACTGAGACAAGTGTATAACCATGTGCAAAGGAGCAGACTTGCGCTCTGCCCAGTTTTTAATGATCTCTAGTATACAGCAAATCAAAGTTGAGGAAAGGGCAAGCAGTGAGGACAAGTAGACTCCGCTGTGTTCACTAAGTACTGCTTGCTCTTAGCTTTTCCCACGGTATATTGTAGTAGTAGATAGGTTGTTTAGAAAGTGAGGGACTAGAGAGATGATTCAGTGGTCAGGAGCAAGTAGTGGTGTTGGACCTGAGTCCCCAGCACCCACCTCAGGCTGCCAGTAACTCCAGCTCTAGAGTGTCTGACTCCTTTTAGCCTCTGTGGGCATCTGCATTCACAGGTACACAAACCCATACACAGACATGTACGATTACACATAATTAAAGTAAAATAAATTGTTGGTTGTTTTAAAGAAAATAAACCGGGGTCTAGAGAGGTGGATCAACAGTTAAGAGTACTGGCTGCTCTTCCAGAGGTCCTAAGTTCAATTCCCAGCAACCACATGGTGGCTTACAACCATCTATAATGAGATCTGGCACCCTCTTCTGGCCTGGAGTCAAACATGCAGACAGAACACTATTCATAATAAATAAATAAATCTAAGGAAGGAAGGAAAAAAGGAAAAGAGCCAGGTGATGTGTAGCTTTAATCCCAACACTTGGAGGAAGGAGGCAGGTAAATCTCTTGTGAGTTCAAGGTCAGCCTGGTCTACATAGTAATTCCAGACCAACCATAGCTCCATAGAAGTTCTATGTCAAAAATAATAAGTAAATAAGAAAATGGCTGAATGAATCTTTAAAAATGAAGCTTTAAACATTTTTTAATTTATCATTATTTGGTTGTTGTGTGTGCATGTGTATGTGCACGCGTGTGGAGGCATGCTACAGTGCTCTTGAAAAGGTCAGAAGACAACTTTGTGGAGTTGGCCCTCTCTTTTCACCTTTACCTGGGTTCTGGTGATTGAACTCAGGCCATCAGTCTTGTGCAACAAAAACACCCTTTACCTGATATGTCAACTGGCCCTAAACTTTAGAATGTAATTACTGGACATTTTAACCTTACTTAAGACTTACAGGTTCCTGTTTTGTCTTTAGGTGGTACGGGACTATAACCTTCAGCTGTTTCTACAAGAGAATGCTGTATTTCACAAGCCTCAGCCCTTCCAGTTCCAGCCTTGTGACAGTGACACTGTAAGGGAACTCCACATCTTCACTTCACTCGTTGTTTGTGCTGGATAAGCAGCAGAAGATGAGTGTGTCTCATTAGTTTAGCAGCTGTGGAGAACCCACACCACTTCTTTCTGAGTACAGCTCGCACATCCAGGGTTTTTATACTGTAGGTTGAGGTAGAGAAGTTTCAGAAAATCTGAAAACAACCAAAAAATTAAAAAGTATTCAGTGGATTTTTTTTCCAGTACAAATTACATTTTCTGGGCATACTTCATACTGTATCTTTCTTCATACTGTATTCTTCAAAATAACCAGTGGCTAAATCTCATCCAGGACAGAACTAATAAATGGAATGATAAATATGTGCATGAAAATATTTTGGTTGACTTTATACAAATTACAGGTCTTTGACAATTCCTTTTATTTTTAAATTGTTCAAAGCATTAATGTTAAGCCCCAAGAGAAGTTTTTAAATAGCAGGCATTAATTATTTTTTCCAATTTTATGAGAAATGTTTACAATTATTTGAAGTTTGAAAAGAGACAAAATATCCATTTGACAATAAAATTACAAAATTTAATAGTTTAAAATGATAAGAATGAGAACATTCTCCTAAAGTAGGAAGCTAAGACAGAGGGCAAAGTATATTTGTAACTCTTTTGATAAATTAATAGTCAGTACCAGGAGAGCATATAAGAGTTTAGTTTGATATATGTTTGATTCCCCGCCCCCAGCTTTGTAGCGCTAACTGGCCTCAAATTCACAGAAATCTTGCCTCCACCTCCCAAGAGCTGGAATTACAGTGTGAACCACCATACCCAGTATTTTGTTTTGTTTTCTTACATTCTAAATAGCCTTGTGTTGAAGACTGTATAAAAAAAAATGGAGGATATCTTTAGTTTCCTCTACATTATAATTTATTGTAGTAATACTTCCCCTTTTAAATTTTTATTTATTTATTTTTAATTTTTGGCAGTTTTGGAGATGAAAACCTAGGGCCTTGTGAATGCTAGGCAGGTGCCCTATTGCTGGGGAGCTACCTCCCCAGTTCTTCCCCCTTTAAAGGCATTCAGCTTCTGCTTAATGACTCAGTGATATTTTCTTAGAGTTGGACGTCTTTGAAGCCTGGGATGAATAAGTAGGACATTAGAAGATACAGGTTATGATTCTGTGTGGTACTCACTCTTCTAATTCCAGCAGTAGGAAATAGGACAAAGGAGAAGGCTGGCATGGACTACAGAATACAATGTTGCTTTTAAAAGAAAAAGAAGATGCAAAGTCTGAACAAGTTTATTAAGTTTGATAAACTTAAAATTCTGACCAATTTGAAGTTTTTTTTTTTTTTCCTTTGCCCATTTGCCGCAGAATAGTGACTCTTACCTCACTTTTCCAAAGCTTAACTATAGCCCTAAAACCTGTCTTTGTTTTTAGGCACTGTGCTAATGTTCTAAGCTATTATGTCCCCTGTTTACCTTAAAATTCTAACTCTCTGCTGTTTTCTGTCCTTGCGCAATCTTTACTGGGCAGAGTTTAAAAGCCGCCCAACTGGTGGATATTGAGCTCTCCCCTGTCAGTGCCCTGAGAATGACCATAGCTGAGGTATATGGGGGCGTGGGCAAGGGTGGAAGGGAGGAATGTGTGGGCTTGCATGTCGTTGAAGGGCGGGACCTGATGTTGGGATGAAAGTCATATATGGGCCCTTAAACGAATCATCCATGACTATCAGTTTTTACCTTATATAAATCAGGAAGGCTTTGTGTTTGTTTGTTTACTATTTGTAATCAAGAAAGTGAGATGCTCATTCTTCATCAGGATTATCTCAAGTACCTTAATTTATAGGAGCGTTGATATAATCCTGCCTTTATTAAAAGAAAACTGGAGCCTAAAAGTAAAGAAACTTGATCCAAGTCTTAACCATGAGTGATTGACACACAGCTATCGTGACGGCAGCATTAATGCTCTTCTGAAGAGGAGTGCTCACACCCGCACAGACATACGTGCCGGCAGAACACCAATGCACACAAAGTCAGTAAATTATCGCCAGGCGGTGGTGGCGCACACCTTTAATCCCAGCACTCAGGAGGCAGGGGCAGGCAGATCTCTGTGAGTTCGAGGCCAGCCTGGTCTACAGAGCTAGTTCCAGGACAGCCAGAGCTACACAGAGAAACCCTGCCTGAAAAAACAACAACAAAATACAGATACCACCCCTAATAATTTTTACTCTCTATAGTCTAGTATTCTTCATGAGGCTAGAACCCCTCTTTAACTGCTTCCTTTTAGAGTTGGTAGCACTAGGCCTACCATGGAGTGAAGAGAATATGTCAGATCTGTTGACTCACTCTCCCGTGAGGTAAGCTTCAGCCATGCAGAAAGGACTAATTCAGATTCCTAAAAACATTCCTGTTCCCATCTTGTTACACTGAATCCCTACTGTATGTGCAAGTCACTAGGTTACGTGGTAACCTGTAACATCTGCGTTGCTCTCTACGGTACAGTTCACACTGCTGTACCGTTCATGAGCTGGGCAAGGGCCTTGAGATTAAAAGAACACACAAGAGACGTGGGTCATTCGTGAGGAGATAATGCCGAATGCCGTTTATTCAAGCTTAGGACAAACCTTATATACCTAGCTGCTGCGTGGTGGAACTCCCCCCAGGCAGGTGGGAAATTGCCACATCCAAGATAGAGTATACAATAGCCATATAGCCAACCACCATGGGGGCAGAAGGAGCACAGGAACAAACAGGACGTTTAGCCGGAAAATGCAGCAAAACATCTGGCCAGAAACTGTCTTCAAGATGAACCCCGAGAGGAGGGTAGACCCGCGGGCCCACAGTAACCTGTGTAGGGTGGACTAGATGAGCTCACTGATACGTACACAGATGGTGGCATTTTCTTGGTGTCCAGTGGCTAATATAATCAGTAAATCCTGATGTGGTATGATTTTTAAACAGGTTTATTGAGGCATACTTATATAATTTACTCAGTTCAATATACTGAATAATTTTTGTGTTTACCAAATTATGTAAGTATCATTATAAGTAAGTCCTGGAACATTTACATGACCATGAGAAGACACCCCTCCTCCATATAGGCAATTGCACTTTCTGTCTCTGCAATTTTTTTTCTGGACATTTCACTAAATTAAATTATGGAGTATGTGTACTCTGTTGGTTTTTTTTTTGTTTGTTTGTTTGTTTGTTTGTTTGTTTGCTTTTTCGAGACAGGGTTTCTCTGTGGTTTTGGCGCCTGCCCTGGAACTAGCACTTGTAGACCAGGCTGGTCTTGAACTAATAGAGATCCGCCTGCCTCTGCCTCCCAAGTGCTGAGATTAAAGGCGTGCGCCACCACTGCCCAGCAGCTCTGTTGTATCTTGTTTCTTTCATTTAACATGTCTTTTCGATTTATCCCTGTTATTGAAAGTGCTTGCATTTTGTTGTTTTTTAATTTCTGATTAATATTGCATTCCATGAATATTCAACATTTTGTTCATCTGTTTATCATTTGGTGAACATTTAGGTTGTTTGCACCTTGGCTCTAACCAGGCTGAGAAGAAGTCAGTAAAGTGCTTTTCCTGTAAGCAGTTCAATACCCAGAACCCACTTTTTTGTTTTTGTTTTTTGTTGTTGTTTTTTTAAAGAGAGCATCAATTTGACAAGAGCAATCAGGGAAGATTTAAAGAGAGGAAAGGGAAGGGAGAAATGTTGTATTTATAATTTTTTAAAAAAGAATCCCGATGCTGTGGCTGGTGAAGACAAGTGGCTGACTCCGCTGATAACCAGCCTCGCTTGCTTGGTGAGCTTCAGGCTAGTGAGAGACTATATCTCAGAGAACGGTGGGCAGGCAATGGTGGCGCACACCTTTCTTCCCGGCATTCAAGAGGAAGAGGCAGGCAGATCTCTGAGTTCAAGGCAGCCTGGTCTGTGGAGCAAGTTCCAGGACAGCCAGGGCTACACCATAGTGAAACCCTATCTCAAAAATAAAAAAATAAGATAAAAATAAATGGTGGGCAGCACCTGAGAAAAGACAGTAAAGGTTGCCCTCTGGACTACGCGGCTCGTGCATACGCATGCACATTTACACACACAGAGAGTCACAGAAAGAGGCAGAGATAATGCTATCATAAACACTTATTTATGTTAATGTATCTTCATTTCTCCAGGGTTGCTGGGTGATGATAAATTGGTGTTTAAAGCACTTTTAGGAAACTGCTAAGTCTTTGACCATTTTTTATTTCCACTAGCTTGGTATGCTGGTTCTTATTTCTCTATATCATAACAAATATTTGTTGTTGTTCATCTATTTTGGTTTCTTGTTTATTTCACGGACCTGGAGGTCAAACCAAGGACTTTATGTGTATTAGGCAAGCACTGCTGCTAAGCTACATAGCAGCCCATCCTGATTTCAGCCATCCTTGTGGTTATGAAATAGTATTTTATGATAGTTTAGGTGTGTGTTTACTTGATGACTAGCTGTTGAATGTTTTCATGACTTTTAGACCTTTATCTATCTGTTTTGGTAAAATAATCTATTTTAATCTTTTATCCATTTTTACATTTTATGTTGCTTTTATGTTACTTTTCTTTTTATCTGTAAATTTTTTATTTATTGTCTTTCATTGAGCTATACATTTTCCCCATTGCCTTTCTTTCCTCACTCTCCCCTTCTACTCTCTCCCCTGCCCCCATGCTCTCAGTTTACTCAGGAGATCTCGTCTTTTTCTCCTTCCTAGGTGGATCCATGTATGTCTCAGGGTCTTTTGTTGTTGCCTAGGTTTTCTGCGGTTGTAAACTGATTATTCTTTGCTTTATGTCTAAGTTACTTATGAGTGAGTAAATATTATATTTTTCTTTCTGGGTCTGGGTTACCTCACTCAGTATGGTTTTTTTCCTAGTTCCGTTCGTTTGCCTACAAATTTCAAGATGTCATTATTTTTTTCCACTGAATAGTGTAATGGACTCTGAATCCCGCCATCCAAGTTCATATCTCAATGGAATCTGTTCCTTGAAGAAGAGACTTGG